GCGATAGAGAGGGAGTAGAGAGCGAGAGAGAGAGAGAGAGAGAGAGAGAGAGAGAGAGAGAGAGAGAGAGAGAGAGAGAGAGAGAGAGAGAGAGAGAGAGGCGAGAGAGCCAGCGCGCGCGAGAGAGAATCGTACCAACACCGCGTGGCCGTGTAACCTCACGCATCGCGATCCTCTCCGTCGTTGCAGTGCATGTCATTGGCCGGCACGACGGCCGCGCGTTCGACGACCGTGACCTGACCTTTGTACTCGGCGAGGGCGAGGAGGTGGACGTGCCCGCGGGCGTCGAGCGCGCGCTCAAGAAGTTCAAGCTGCACGAGCGATCTCTGCTGACACTGAAGCCAGAGTATGCGTTCGGACGCTCCGGCCACGAGCGGTTCGGCGTGCCGGCGGACGCCGCAGTGGAGTACGAGATAACGCTGAATAGCTTCGAGAAGGTGAGAGTGTGCGAGCGTGCGTGTGACAGAGATAGAGAAGTGGAGGAGAGGGAGGGAGATGGGTGGGAGGGAGAGGGAAGCGAGATGGGTGGGAGGGAGAGGGGAAAGGGGGATAGAGAGAGAGAAAGAGAGAAGAGAAGGACAGAGAGATTGAGATATTACATCAAGAGGCATTGATGATGTTTAAGGCGTCATGTAAATTCTGCTCGTTTCTCCCCGTGCCATGCACTACAGTTCTTTGGACTTAGCAATGTCCGACCCATTTCGCCGGTCTGTATCTGCTCCTGAGAGATAAGGTCATTCTCCTGTAGTCTTACTTATCATCGTATTTTTAACAGGCTAAGGAATCTTGGGAAATGGACAAGGAAGAGAAGTTGGAACAGGCAGAAGTCCTGAAGGAAAAGGGAACAACGTTCTTCAAGGTGAGGCTTGAATCATTCTCAGTGGTAGTGTGGGTTGCGTGAGCTATATAATCTCTGCATTCTGTTGAGAACAGCCTGAATTCTCTCGTCATCATAGGTGTCCCATTCTCAAAAAATCACGCCAGGCATTTACCGTCACCTCAGTGATCCAAATGCATTGACTATTATGCAGTACACAAACTATGCAATGCAATAGTGTTAGAAGGGTACTGTAGTGTCTACACTTCTGCCAGTACCACTAATTATAAAAAGTTGCACGAGAAATGGTGTGGGGACGTGTCTTTAAACTGAATGTTCGTCATTGCTCTTGTATTGCAGAATGGAAAGTTTGGCCAGGCCGTTAAAAGCTACGAAACGGCTGTGAAATACCTGGAGAATGAGACTTACCTAGATGATGACAAGGTCAAATGTGATCAGGTGCTATTAGCAGGTATGTTTTAATACTTTAAATATTAATCATTTAACTAATGTTTGTTTGGCTATGATTGAATAGATACACTCAAAGCAAACTGGCGTTGCATTCACCAGTCGTAGCGGTCACTTCTGTAAAAATGGACACTTGTCTATTATGGACATTAAGCGTTTTCCTTTATTGATCCGTACATACAGATCAAACTGTATTGAAATTTATAACCTTGTCGAATTGCTTGATGCACTGCCACGTGGAAGTCAATTCGACACATTGCGTTTGACCTCCTGTGTTTTCAGCACATCTCAACATCGCTCTGTGCTCCCTGAAGCTAAACAAGAACCTTGATGCAGTGAAGCATTGCGAGGACGCGATGAAGATAGACGCCAACAACGAGAAGGCGTTCTTCAGACGAGGAATGGTACGTGTGGACGTGATAACCGATCGCACCGTAACTCCCCCCTCCCCCTCCCACCCCCTCCCACCCCCTCCCACCCCACCCCACCCCCCTCCCCCACCCCACCGCTGCCGCCGCTGCAACGTTACAACGTTAATGTAGTCATAAACATTGGTGACCGTGCGATTGCTGCATTTGTAAACGTTAATATCGAGATACGAAAGCGTGACGTAGGTGTAGTGCAGTGAAACGTCGCCCCAGGCTATTGGTACTCACTTAATTGCTGATGGCGTGACGGGACGATGACAATATCGATCATGTTGATAGTGAGTATGATGTGGCAATGCTTGAACATGCATCCTTTGTAATTAGTGGTGGTGGTGGCGGTGGTAGGGGCAGGTGGCGGTGGTTGTAGCTGTAGCAGTACCAGCGGTTGTAGCAGTAACACTACCGGTGGTGGCAGTGGCAGTGGTGGCAGGAGGCAGTAGCAGTGCCAGTGCCAGTGGCAGTAGCCATGGTGATGTTGGTGACAGTGGTTGTGCCAGTGGCAGTAGCCATGGTGATGTTGGTGACAGTGGTTGTGGCAGTGGCAGTAGCCATGGTGATGTTGGTGACAGTGGTTGTGGCAGTGGCAGTAGCCATGGTGATGTTGGTGACAGTGGTTGTGGCAGTGGCAGTAGCCATGGTAATGTTGGTGACAGTGGTTGTGACAGTGGCAGTAGCAGCACCGGTAGTTCGCCGCGCACTGTCCGACGTAACTAACCTTGCCTGACCTTCACTTGCAGGCTAAGCAGAACATGGCGGACTACGAGGTGGCTCGCG